AGAGAAGGAAAAGTTCTTCTGTCACTGAAAAGTTATCTTCATCAGTCTGTGTAAATCAGAGTGGAATTTAAGCTGTCCTTAACACACGGGAAATACTGCCATCGCCTCCATTTTTTTGTAGTGATTCTAATTCAGTTGTTCTTATAGAAGAATAAAATTCCACACATTATTTAAAGTCAAGTCCAATGGTAAGTGGTAAAAAGTTAATGTATACTTAGTATAAAGAAATATAACAATAGCCAAAGAAAGCGTTAATCTAAAGGACAAACTGCATTTACTGTATTACATACAGGGTTGTATGGAAAGGCATGCGGACAAGTGGCTGCAGTGACATACCCCTTGTGTCTGTAGGGACAGAGGTGTGATACGCCGCTTTTCCCACTCATTTGGGCGTGGTTCAGGTGTGGATTCCATGAAATTGCGCTTGAGCTCACTAATGCTAGCCTGGTGTTTCAGTAAGTCGTCCTGGGTCTTATCCAGGTCCTAGCAACCCGCAACGTAAAACACAGTAGGACAAAACACGACAACAAAAGCAAACTTGACTGGGAAAAAAAAAAAAGAAAAGAAAAAGAAAAAAGAAACCAAACCGAGGAAAGTGCCTTGTGTCTGAAAAGCTATTCTTCTTTGGAGTGCCTTAAAATAAAAAAGTTTAAGGCTATAAGGTAACCAAGATTTTTTGGTTTTGTTTTTGTAATGAAGGGCCACTTATACACTGTTTCTTCCATATTTTAAGGCAAAGGAAAAATAATGCTGTGCATGGTTATTTAACAGAGGGCTATTTTCATCTAAAACATGAAACAAAAATAATTTCCAGTAGTTGCTTGCTTTCATCTAAAATTTGTAAGCACAGAAGCAAACATTTTGGGATACTGCACAACTAACATTACTGAAGGTAGCTGTAAGAAAGAATAGTCTAACCCAAGAAGCTTTATAAAAACGCATCTTTCTTAATATTACAAGCTCCGTGAAAAACACTTACTTCTCTGAAGACAATACTACAGGGCCAAGAATGCAAGCAACTAACACCTGCTTAACTTTAGAGGGACTACTCCTTGTGCCTGTCCTGTAGGCTTAAACTTCCTGGAATAATCAGACTTAAAGACTTAAAGCCTGATATCTGCCAATTCCACATTTACGAACCCGACAGCAGACACAGCACTCAAGTAGGAATACTTTTTGTGCACACCAATACCAAAGAGATGTTCTCTTTAAATTGCACCTACACAGTGCCAAAGGGGACACCGCAGCGTGAACATTGAATTAGGTTTTGTGATGACCCATTGAGGCTAAGCTGCAGCACCTTGGACCAAATAACTACAAGCTAGTCTGTCACTTTATACCAGGTACAGGAGCAGACATAAGGATCAGGAGCTATGCAGAAACATAACTGATCTGGTATGCAGGCAAAAATCTATCTGCTTATCTCTCTTGGACGTTCATTATCCTTGAAATACAATACCGGGCTTTGGTGGGAAGAGCAGATTTCACTCTGCTTTCACAATCTCTCCTCCTTCCAGTGTGCCAGGTCTTGAGAAAAGCCTGTGTTGGTTATGCACTCTCTAACACAGGAATATTTTTTCAGTATTCTGTGGTGAAATTCAAGTTTAAGTCTCAGACCCATTTCTAGTACAGAATTAAAAGACTGAAGATTAAAATGGAATAATGTCAATGCAGACGATTAATGAAGTTTTATCAAAAGAATATAATCAGATACAATAATTTAGGTAAAGCATCTGGTTTTTGTACAAAGATTTTACATACTTTGTAACAGAACATTTTGAAATTTTACTTTAACATTTTGGTTAGGATTTTTATAGTCAGTGCTCACAAGCAAAGACACCTCATCTTAAGTAATGAAAAAACCAAACCTAATACAAACTCACTAGTTTCTAGTTTCTTTTCACTTGCACGTTCAGCCCCAGTAACAGTTTGGTGCTGCACATCTGTTTCCTAATTCTGCAAATATTCACACGTGTACTTTGAACACTAAGAACCTCTCCCCTTCTGGCAACTCAGTAGGTCCATATTATCACAGGACCAATGCTTCACTTTTAATCTAAGACTAACAAACGAGACATTAAAGATGTCCCCCTAAAGTATGTATTTTCTGAGTGAAGTAAAACCTTATGCCAAAGGCATTCTATTACACAACTGAAGCTCGTAACAATCATGTCATTACTTTAAAACCTGTCTTGGCTTGACACAAGGCACATTTCTTGGACTTGATCAAAGCACAGTTATGCAATGCACACTTTCAGTGCTTTAGTAAGTTATACATAAGCAAAGTTTCAATAGTGATCAAAAGCTGCAAAAAGCCAAAAAACATATTAGTTGGGTTACTGCCATCCATACATCTCCTTATTACCGAAAAAACCCAATGATTTTTAAAAAGATAGTTTTTGTGACAAAGGGAATTATTTATAGCCCCATCTGGATGAATAAAATAAAGACAGCAGTAGGATTTTCTAAAATTTCTTCAGTTACTAGCTTGTGTTATTAACCACAAGTTAAATGATACTGATTATAACTACAGACAGTCTTTGATAAAATAATTCAGATTAACAGACTATATGGAAATTGTTATAATAAAAATCTCTACTTCAGTGACAAAGCACTACGCATTAACATACTGTTCAAAGCTCTTTCCCATTGCTCATCTTCAATGAAAACCAACTTTTAGGAAGCAAGAATTACTTCCATTTGAAAAGTGAAAAAATAAAGCAAAGATTTCAGAAGCATATCTAAACATTCCCTTTAAAAATCTGATCCTCACACACATTTCTCAAAGCTCCTAAAATCAATGAGTGTCAGAACCAGAATTAGCTTTTCCATACTTCTACCACTGCTTGGGCCTTACTAACTCCATTTATTCAGATAATGTATTTGATAAAGGTTGACTAAACTGACAAAAACTAGAAACCCTGCTCAACAGAAGATACACACATTGAGGAGCAATGTATAAAACTCCCATTTAGGATTATAAATTGGACCCATGTGTTTGCTTTATCTAAATAGGGCTATTATTCCCAGTTGCCACCTTGAAAACATCTAGCAAAAAATATACAAAATGTACATTCAACATTCAAGCTAAAGGTTTTGTTTGCTTGTTTGTATTTTTTGGTCAGGGTTTTTTTTGTTGTTGGTTTGGTTTGGTTTTTTAAATTTAAAGTCAGAAACTAGAATGATAACATGCAAAATTTCCAAGCTGTTTTTCCCCCATGCACTTCATGCACTGTGTCCGTAACAGCCTGCAAGTGACCTCCCATCCCATGCAGCCTGGCAGCCCGTGAGAAGGGAAAGTGTTTCTTATGTTATATACAAACCTCCAACATTAAATTGCTATGTCTGACATAAATATTTTCCCCGTCTACTCTCAAGGAATTGCTCTGTGAAATTAAGCCACACATACAAAAAATAAAATTAAAAAAAAAAAAAATCAAAATGAACATAAAATGTACCAGCAAGTAAATAAAAAAAAAGGACCCTTAGAATCAGACAGTTAAATAAAGGAAATAAAATAAAATGGTAAGGTGAAAAGGCACTATTCAGACTAAATCCACAGAAAATTTAGGGTGCTAACAAGGCAGGCAGCTACAGCCAGATTTAATTGTAAAAAACCAACCATGCACCTTCTGCTGTGCTTCCTCCTCTTCGTATTCCAGCTATGTGAGCACATGGCAAATTATCAAGAAAAGGAACTGTTAACATACGCTGACAGACTAACACAGAGGCTTCATCTCTTTGTAAATGCTGCAAAGCGTGCTATGTTTACAGACCTTTACTCTTTCGGCCCCAGATGTTGCAATTATTAAGCGACTTTGGTCTTCCTTCACCTACATTGTTGTAGAATGGCTGAAGTAATATTTGGCATAAGTGACATGAAAAATGGAAGTTTCACACTGTGTTCCTTTCTTGCTTTACTTTTCAGTGTTTTCTCAGATGGGAATTTAAGAATGAGTAAAGAAAAAAAATGATATGCGTAATTTCTATGGTAAGTGCCTTAAACTCTGCAACAAGTTGATGGGAAAATGGAATCTACTGCATGAGTTCTTTTGGTAAGAGGGTCAAACATTTAAATACTGTATTTACAAACTGTCTTAAAATAATGAAGACTGTTGCTGTCTTGGGATGAGTTATTTGCACCCCACCCCCTTTTTATGTGAACTGCAATGCACTCTGTTGGAAATGATAGCTAATCTTTTTATCTTACCTACAAGTATTGTGAATGCCTTAAGGAACAGAGTTCTTCAAAAAGCAAACCCCTTCCCAGTTTTTCCACAGGTACAAATATCAACTGCTGATCTCAGGAAAAGATGCATTTAGAAGTCAACACTGCGTAAGTACATACATTTGAAGAGGGGTTTACTTACAGCACATGCTGTTGCATTTTGGATTCTGTGTGAATGCACACATAATGTGGCACATATCACATTTTTATTAATTTCTTGCTTATCTGGGGTTCTATTTTCTGCAACTTTATGTTAAAAATGATGGATTGAATTAGATTACAGAAAAATTGAGAAAGTCTTTAAAGTCGTGTTTTTCATTATTTTAAAACTTAGACTGGTGTTTTTAATGACATCATGTCATATTTAGCATCTTTTTAATCTGTACATTGTAATGATTTAATCAGTTTAACAAACTTTAAATATAACATTGAACAGGCCCTCCCCTTTTTGATTCTGTAATATTTGGTTTCATATTTCCTCGGAAGATCAAAATAAAACACCTTTTTCTAGTGGTATTGCTGTAACACGCACAGCAGACGTAAGGAAAGGAGGTATTTTATCAACCACTCCAGATGATCAGAGCAATGTATTAGTGTGACTGAGGCTTCTGAACAGCAGTTTTAAAAGTGTATTTCAAAGAATGTTCAGACTCCAGTGATTATAAAGTCTGACACAACCTGCAATCCCAGCTAATGAACATCAGTCTCCACCTTAACTGCTGCTAGAGATTAATCACAGCACTTAAAAAAAAAGTGTCCCTTGGACAGACTCAACTTTGCACACATCCTTGTAGAGCAGAAACATCTGAAATCTGGAATAACAAAAAAGCTAATTTTAAAGGATTCAGTTTTCTGACTTCAGCTTTTAGGAATTTCAGTTTTCAGATCTAAACAGAACTCTGCAGACGTGCATTCCAGTCAATGCACGCAGGAGACATGCATTTTAACACAAACTGATAGTGCAAGTAGCACAACTTACAAATAGTATCAAGTAATAATATATCTATTATTACGCAGCACTTTCAGATTTATGTGCTCGTAAACATTTCGAACTACAAAGCAATTCTACCTGCAGCTCACTATCTGTGGAATCTAATGACATTATGCATGCTGTAGGAATTCAGGCAGAAAAAACGCCAGCTATCTATTGACTAAAAATCCCACAATGACAATTTTTCACAAATGAGAAAAGTTAGACAGATACAGATATACACGTGTGTGTGTGTGTGTATATATAGGCATGTACATAGACATATCCCTATACTAGGAAGTGTGCAAAACTGAGCAAGCCTTTGGGAGAACAAGTATAAAAGCTATGTGCAAGCGTCAACATTTAAGCAACAAAATTACACACCTCCTCTTCCTCTGCTTTGTCATTCAGGTCATTGTCATTAGAGCCACTAAAGGAAGTCGCCTTAGGCTCCAGGTAGCAGAGGGACAGAGCGAGAGGAAGGGAAAATGTGAGTGAAAAAGGAATAGACTGGAAAGCAGACAGAAGCAGGACGAAGATAAGGAGGAAAGAGGGGATGAAGGAAGGAGAAGTAATAGGAATATAGTGCTGAAGGCCAGGTGGGAGGAAAGAGATGCAAACATCAGGAAGGCTAGGAAAAGTAATATAACCATCCTTATCAAGCAGCGAACGGAAACTAAAAGAAGAGCATCTGATAAAGCTGAACGAGACACGCAACTCAGTGCTTTTGTAGTCATTTGTATGGATTTTTCCCTTGACAGCAGGGGAGCCTCGACTAGCTAGGGGTCTCGTAGATTCAAAGATATTATTCAGTGAAGCTATTTTGGTTTTACTGTGATCTGGTGTTTCTTTCATGGAATTGCACTCTGAGATATCTGGGATGGTAAAGAGGGGCTCTCCAAAGGGATCTTCCTCTGAAATATCTGAAAGGATGTCCAGCTCAGGGACAGGTGGCAGGTTTGTGAGATGGGATGACACAGAATGGATGGGTAGTGATGATGGCTGTACATGAGCGAGCTCAAGAAAAAAATTCTGTGCACAGTGGAAAATGAATGCACAACAAAATGCAAGTTTGAAGGCACAAGAAAAGGGAAAAAAAAGAAATTATTAGTTAGTGAAAATTTTTACTTAGAAGCAGGGATAGCTCTACTACCGCAATAGAAATGCCAAATAAAAATAGAAATCCCCTTGTGTTTTACAAGCAGCCAACTTGTTTACTTCTGTGGACCATGAAAGGAACCCATTACGAATGTTTTGTTCTCAGGCTGTAAAGAACTGTGCACTTTTGAACTGTAACAGTCACTTACAACAGATGGAAGCAGACAGACATTCAAAGCTTTGGCGGAAAGGTCAGGGGACAGTGCAGTACAGGAAAGACAAGCTGGCACTTTGATTCTTCAGTTTATAACCATTTCCTCTAAGACTTAAAGAGAGCCAGAAAGGAAAAGAAGTATCTGCACTAGGGGGAAAAGAAAGCTGTTCACAGAATTGGCATGTGCAACAAAACCTTACTGAACAGCTTCCTGGAACAACTTCCCAAAATGCTGCTTTTTTTTTTCTTCTTTTGGTTAAAATATTGAAAGATACTGCCTCTTTGAAAACAAGGGAGTATCACCATTTTACCAAGCCCAAAGTCAACAGATAGTAGTTTATTTTACTATTTTTCTTCCATAAAGAAACTCTGTGCATGCCTTTTTCCTAGGCCAATTCAAAGTTATTTCAACTTGCTAGCAAACAAACAAAAACAATTGCAACTGTCAGTATTTGTTCCCTTCCTACACTTGAATACAGTGGGAACATGGGAACTGCACAGAGAAACTCAGCAGTCCCCGAGGAATCAAATGTGTAGCTAACTTGCAAAAATGTTTGAAATCAAAATTAATCTTTAAGCATGAAAGTAAGTTCTGGAGAACTGCCCAAAAAAGAAATGATTTCCAAGAAAAAGAAGCAGCAGATTTTAGCTGACACTTTGGAAGGAAATTTTTACATCAAATCATACAAGATCTAAATTTAATTTTTTTACCTATTCCCCCAGTAGCTCAAACAAACAAGACAAGTAAGTGGTTGTTTGCAATGGGAACAGACCAAAGTACTCAGCTTTTCACAGAAGTCTATGTCTCAGTCAACATACAGTTTTTAAAGGATGAAAAATTCTGCAGTGGCTACTAAAACAATACCATTACCTATGGTAATTAAACACCATCATAAATATACCAAACTTTGCAGAATGTACACAACTGTGGATATATTAACAATTTTTTTTAAAGTCTAAACAAACTAAGGAAATGAATAAAACATTTACCCTTTGAAACTTCTTTTTCAAGAACTCATGCAAGTTTACTGAGAATTCAAATTACATTTATTGTAATAAAAGAAACCCTAGGTCAATGCCATTCAGAAGTTTGTATTCCCTTTTGCTTACATACACTTACATGAAGTTAAACCTACAGAAAGCACTTGACAATTTTCCTTTAATATTTCAATATGGTGTTCTGTATGATGCTCAGAAGTGATAGGCACTAAATAACCACACATGGACATACACCACATGAACAAATAATTTTGGTGTGAAAGTCAGCCATACCTTTCCATCCTGAGTCAATTCTAATTGCGGAGTTTTGACTGGGCTTCCATCTTCTTCTCTGCCACCTTCTTTTAATTTGGCCTGACCAGCAGCTTCAATGTCGATGATTTTACCTCCAGCAGCCTGTGCTCCAGTGGCAGGGAAGTCTCTTAGCAGACTTTGGTCTGAGATACCCATGGGAGCTATTAGAGAACAAAATAATTTTGGTTAATTGGGGTAAGTTGGAACATTTTGGTTTTAAGAATTCTTAGCAAAATGATTTTATGGTGATGTCAGCAATGAGCAATACAGGCTAGTTACTGAGTGATACAATATTTTTCAGCTTCTTGGCTTCGCAAAAAGTCTATGGTTCTCGTTGCACTGATATGTACAGCAATGTACCCTTGTCATATAATGTGCATTTACTATGCAAGGGAAAAAAACACACAGGATCAGGCAGATATTTAATTACAGTTTTTTGATTAGTCTCAGAAGACAAATTGAAGGTACTGTTCTTGTTACTGTGTAAATCACCATAACAAAAGAGAAAAAAGGCAACAATGTTTTGTGGAAATTCACTATTTTGAGAGGACTGTTTTAATGCAAGATAGAAATAGCTATGCATATAACTGTCACGGTGTTTTTATTCTGGAACATTAGCAAACCTGCAGAAACAACGGCTCAGTGAAAGTAAGACTTTTCCTCCCTGTATGCTTGTGAAAAATCGAAAGGGGAAATACTGAACATGTGTACTTGAATATAGTCAAAGCGCAAGAGAGTGAAAGGCCTTAAATTAGTTTTTTTCTCTTATTTGATTCAGCATAATAAGATTAATGAGCAGGACGGCTTTTTTTTTTTTTTTTTTTTTTTAAATCAGGTGCACCCTCTACAAAATTTCAAGTGTAGAGGCACAGTATGAACCTACATCTGGACTACCACCTGAAGAAAGAACAATATTTAAGTTTGAGTTTGAACACAGTTTAAAACTATTACAGCCTGCAGATGGCAACACCAGCAAGATGCCTTAAATGCTGCCAGGAATAGCTGATTTCATTTGAGATTAAACCAAAGATGACTAAGGGGAAAAAAAGGAAAACCAAGAGCAGTGTTTCATCATGCTCAAAATTTTGAGTGTGATGATTCTGTAAGAGTGAAAGTTTGGGCCTGAACACACATGCATACACATCTGTATTCTGCATGATGCACAAGGGTTCCCAGAAAGGCTTGATGATAGAATCTCCAAGAGTTGGGAAGAATTCAAATTGTTCCTAACAAAAAGAAGTACAGGAACTAAACCAGACTCAGATAGTGACACTGATGTGGTAATGAGTCTTTTGGTTGCCATAAGAACTCATCACATGCTACCAGTGCCTCTCATTTTTGCTTCAGTTCTCAGAAGGTAAGACTCTGTAGGTTTCCCAACCAAGTGTCACAGTTTGCTCATTTGTCCTAGTACAGAAGAATGAATATTTGCAGAAGTAAAAGTCTTCTAAGTAAAAGATATTTGGAGAAAATAAGGTAGAGTTAACAGCTGAATTGCAGCTAAACTCACATCATTGTCAGAGTTCACTTTTATTCTAGTGAAGTTGTGTGTGCCTGAATCTAAGTCAAGCTTCACATCATTTTTCTGAAGAATTTTTCTATTTATACTATTTCAGAAGTGATTCAGAGTAAAACACGTGCTTCTACATCTCTCACACATACTGCTGCTATACCTGCCTTTGGAAAGCATGCCTGTTTCCAATAAAGGAAACCAAAAGGTATTTCTGCTCAAAGAGACCAAATGCCAGCATTGATAAAAAAATCTTAGCTATTCAAACAATCTCAACATAAAAAATTTTAACTAAACACAGAAGTATCAAATAAATATACTAGGATAGCAATATACTGAACAAAAGGATACAAAGATACTTTGGTTACTGTTTAGGTCACCTAAAACTGACAAGTAACCAAAGTGGCTATTCCTCACATCACCCATCAGAAACTGAAATTCTTAAATTTGTCAGTTGACATTCTGGTCATCTATAATGTCAACATTTTTGAAAGTTGGTCAGATCAGAGTGACAACACGTAATGTAATCATTACACTGAAGAAATTAGTCAAAGTTCATACCTCCATCAAGGCTTCTGGAAACACGTTTGCTTGAAGTGCGTTCAAAGTATGGAGCTGGTCTGTCTATGAGGTTGCTAGCCTGTCGTGTCTGTGCTTGCGTACGTCCACTGTAGCGGAACTTGGAACCCAGGGTTAGAAACTTTGCTTTTGGAGGCTGTTCTGGTGATACAAGTCTAGAAAGTGAATATAAGGAAAGTCAGTTAAAAAGGGCTTTATTTTATATATTTAATGAAATAGTTTAAAGCTACATATTACATTTCAAGTTCAGTTCACCAGGCATAATTTGTGCACCCCAAGAAAGGGTTCTACCATAAGCTCTGAGAAGAACTTCTAAAAAAATGCACGTTATTTATTATTTGCAGTTGGAGTTGAAGGGATGCTGATAACCATCACATTTTCCACAGTATGACTAAGGATCTACAATCCTTATCTTTTGGTGCTGTCTTGGTTAAATTGTATTTTTTGTAGAAAGCTGAAGCCATTATAGGTCCATGTAGAATATTCAGATCTCTCTCCTTAGAATGTTACTTAAAGTAGAAACTATACATCCCACTTCCACTGTCTTTCCTATATTCTGAGGTACCAATATGGCAGCTGCTATTCCTCAAAGTTAGGGAATGGCATCTCAAAGCACATAGAAGGCTGTACCAAGTGAAAAAAAAAAAGATTGAGATGGCTGAAGAGTTGTGACCCAACAGTAAGAAGTTTAACAAGATAGATTCTGACTCCAGTTTCTTTATAATGCTATTTATATATTTATATAAGTTGATGTTTGCTGGATATAAGGAGGAGGAAAAAAGTGTATTGTGAAAAGAGTGAAAAAGAGATTCATTTACAAGTACTATTAATGCTGGGTTCTGTGCTGGTTATGTATGTTTGTACCTAAGCATAAGAGTCAATGTCAGAAAGTAATAGTCCAAGTAATAATGGGGCAGAATTTGCTATGAGGGATTCTGCTTTGTTCCACCAGTTTTTGACATCCGTAAAGTTTGAAGAGACAGGTCCTCTGTACCTCCCTGAATTTCCTTCAGCATGAGGATTTCAAGTTCTTATTCATCTAACCCTCATTGCTTGTACTTTGTTTTTGAAATCTGAGCCATCAGCTTCAACACTGAGGGTAGTGTTTGTTCCAGTGCCAGCCTTGCTGATAGGATAAACAGTCACCACTGCAGGAACTCTTCCCAGTCTCCACTTCTCTGGAAAGGTCTTTGATGTTGCTTCTTGGATCAATGTAGTACTGCAAATACATGCTCACCCAGCACGGCAGTCTCCATGGCCTACTCTCCCTCTGTATAAAACCATCTGACTATTCCAGATAGGGCTTTTTGATTTGAGGATCTGCAAAGAAGCAGCTCACTGAAGATCAGCTTCTTTCAAGCAGAAACAGCAACTACGGTGCCCTTTGTACTTAGGATGGCACAGATGGGCAAGCGAGACTTAAAAGTATGCTGACTTTGTTCTCCTCTTTTGAAGCATTTGCACGGGGAATATCTGTGCCAGTGGAATCTGATCCAACATACAGTAAGACAGTATCTAGTGGTCTGTTCTGAAAACTGACAGTCAGTCTAAAGACATTTCAGCAAAACTGAAGAATTTTCAGATACTTAGCAAAAAGAACAGTGAGCTAGTGTGGTGGGTTAACCCTGGCTGGACACCAGGGTCCCACCAAAGCCTCTCCATCACTCCTCTTCCTCAGCTGGACAGGGAGAGAGAAAAAATAGAACAAATAGCTCGTGGGTCCAGATAATGACAGGGAGAGATCATTCAGCAATTATCGCCATGGGCAAAACAGACTCAACTTGGG